ATTATTTAGGTTTATAGAGATATCAAAAATAGAATTATCTATTACGTTTTTCTAACTGAAATAAAAAGATTAATAGACGATTTTTGATGATATAATGACTCTGTAGGTTTCAATTTAATTATATGTGTTATTACTATTAGGAATTTAATAATTTTGTAGTAGGTATGCGCCCCGATATACTCAATACCTTTATACTTACTGAAAATTGAAGTACTTTTATTTACTTCGTAAAATTCAATTTACTTACCTTTCAGAGCTATTAGCCTCGAAGCGTGCGTTAATGGTGAATAAGAGCGTGTCATAAAGGCCAGCATTAAAAATAAAGCATCAAATGTTAGTAACAGTATATAATTTATTAGTGAAAAGACATTTTGACAATTAGTTGTTAAGAATATAAGCACTTTTTAAGACAGTTATTTTTGGTAATGGTTGTATAAGTGAAGGGGGTTGTGAGGTGTTTAAGTGGCATAGTGATAGATGCATTAATTAAATTAATTTAAATTTTTCATTTTAGCTAGTATTTATAGACGTACAAATTGATATTTTAACTTGAATTTAAGACTGTAAAAAGGTAGTGATGATGACTAAAAACAAGATCAACATTGAGACCATTATGGTCTAATCTAATTATAATTAAATTTGTTGTTACCTATTTTCATCCTGCAAGAAAAAAAACAAAAATCGATTAAGTATTACAGCAAATAATGATTAATCAATTTTACTATTTTTTTTAAATTATATTCTCGACTTTTCTTAAAATAAATAAAAATCTGCTTTCTTTTTTTTCTGGTATCGAATTACCCTGATTTTTATTTTTATTTTTTGATAAATTTTTATGAGGTTAAAGCATATTTTGTCTTGTACATGCATATATTGTTTATTTAAATAAAATTATTTAAAAATGTGATATTAATTTAGTTGCTGTGAATGTTGTAAGTTGTGCGTGACGTGCGAGGTGTTTTACTGTTATGTATGTTTGTATGTTACCTTCAGCCTGATCACTTTTCTTTTCGATTTCTTCAACGCGGCTTCTTTGTCTTTCAGCTCTTTTTAATAAATCTTCTAACGCTTCATCTTTTTCTTCACCGTAGTCTTTCACCCCCTTCTGACTCTCTTGTCTGCCTATTTCTTTGTGGTCTAATTTCATTTCTGAATTTTTCAAATCGTCGTTTTCTTTTATTTCAGCTTCTTCTTTCGTTACAGATTTGGCCTTATCAGGTTTAGATGTTTTAACGTTTTCTTCTACAGGTGTTAAAGGTTCTTTTTGGAAGTCCTTATTTTCTACAATTTCTATGTCTTCCTTTGTTGCTAGTTTTGGTTTTTTCGGTTCGTCTTTAGATTTTGCGTCTTGGATACTAGATTTTCGTTCTGGTTTTTTGACTTCTACAATTTCTACCTCTTCTTCTTGTGGTGATACAATAGCCTTTTTGGGGGTTGGTTTTTGGGTTTCTTCTTCTTCTTGGGGTGCCTGAGGCTCTATTGTTATTGTTTTTTCTTCGGTTGTTTCCAATTTGATTCTTCTCCTAGATCTTCCGCTACTATCATCGCTTTCTTCTTCTTCCAATATGGTATGAGACCTAAGCGAGGTTTCTTCAGTTATTTCTTCTATTTGAGCACTGCGGGCTTTCTTCGGGACAATGGGAGATTCGGGTTCTTCGATAATCGGCTCGGTTTCTTTAACAGTTACTTCTTTTGCTTCTTGTTTTTGTGGTTTTGGTGCTGTTTTGGTTAACGAATATGAATGATTAATGTCGTTTTTCGTTACAACATGTGTGACAATTTTCCAGTACTGTTTTTTGACTGGGAAAATTGAATTACACAAACATTTAGCAATTAAGCGAAAATTTTAGTAATACAAGAAATTGGTAATTGCCTAAACATATAAAAATGAACATTTAAGACCGCAACGAGAAAGTGTAATAATAAAACTGTAAAGCAGAGCATAAAGCATCAAAAATCCTTTTGGATTTCTTTTTGAGCGGCTGGTTGCTTTATTTAAGCTTTTGATTATACCTTCTCCTATAGAAGCCTTTCGGGCGTCTTTTTTGGCATCCTCATTTTCTTGCGGTTCAGGTTGAACTGGTTTTTCCTGTTCTTCTTCAACAAATTGTACTTTACGCTTTTCAGGAGGTTTTTCCTCTTTTTCTTCCTCTTTCTCATCTTCGGCATTGTCAACTTCATTTTCCACCACCTCAACTTTTAGTTTCTTCGGAGGTTCTTCAGTGTCTTCTATTGCATCGCTATGAACGACTTCTGTAAAGTTTGTAGGGGTAATGATGGTAGTAATGTGATGGTGTCTTTGTTTTTGGGGAAGCACAAAAACATCGAAACCACAAGATACCAGACCAAAATACGACAAGACAAAACGAAACAAAGTATAGAAAGTCTAAGCATGGTAGTTTACACAAGTTTGTCCCATCAAAGTTTTAATCAGGTTCTCAAAAGTATGGATATTTGGTCTACAAGGTACAACAAAATTACGCAATACATATTTCTAAAAATGACGTTTACAGTTTCATTCACCAAATATTACATACTTACCTTTTTCAAACAGATGGTACACATATTTCTTTAAAAACTATAATGATAAATACTGACTTTAACAAACAATTACGTTGTTTGGGAAACTCTAAAACTAATCGATTAGATGTTTCAATATGTGGTCATCGGTAATTGAGAACTTTAATTAATCGGTATACAAGGTGTTTCTAAAATAAGTAGCAAGCTTGTAGGATTTGATAGGGCTATATAAAGCAAGAAAATTACGTAAATGTTTAGTGATCTGAAAGCCCACCGTTTTCGAGAAAGTCAGTCCGGCCCTGGAAGGGTCACGCAAGGAAATACGACATCGCAACGCCGCATTCAATCGGCTGCAGCATCTGTGTTGTACGAGTATTTCTTTTGTATTTCGTGTTCTTAATACCATGTCGAGATGTACTTTAAATAGTACTGCATACTATCAGCGATTAACAAAGTAGTTATTAAATGAATTGTTATTGCAATGTCATAGTTTACATTTTCCATCGATGTAGTTCTTTAACTGTTATCGTAATTTCTCTATACGTATTCACGTCCAGGGCCGGCGTGAAATTACAATTTCGTTTGGGTTTCTTGCAATTGTTTTTGTCCCATAACCACGCTGATTAACTCACCATGCGATTCCCTATTGCATCTAGTTAACATCCTTCAAGACTTACTACTTATTTCAGAAATATCCTGTATACCTACCCTCCAATTCATGAAAACCTGAAAGCTTTCACGATCGAGATTATTGAGTTTAAGTTTATCAATATTTCGGTTTGATGGTCATGGTCCAAGATTGACTTTTCTCCAACAGTGATTTCGCAGATGGAGCAGTCTATCCAATATTTTGACAGTTTCCTTGGTTTGTGTATCCACAAGGAATGTGACTAAACTAATTCAGCCCTAGTACAACTGCATCGCAGCATTCCACGCCCTTGAGGATACTAACCAAAAACAAACCTCAGGAAGAATCTTTGGATAAACGACTCCATCCGCAAATTATCGGAAGAAGAAGAGCCAGTGCTGGACCACGAACCATCTTCATCCTACAACTGGTTACCTATTTAAATGTCACATTAAATCGGATAAGTTTTGAAATTTTTCAAATTATCAAATGGTAGATGGACTTCTTCGAGGTAATAATAGTCTGCTTAAATATACGTTACAATAAACTCTTGTGGTTGTTTTCATTAACGGTTTTGATGGTCAACTTACTGTGTACTGTGACGTTGCTCTTGCAACTAATTGTTCCAAGTGCGTTGGTAACAATGACTTCGTACTCTCCCTGTTCTTCGTATTTTATTAAATTCACTGCTAAATTGTAGGTTTCGTAGCGATGAGTGTCTCTGGTAATTTTTATGCGAGCATCTGCAGAAACTTCTTTGCCATTACGTAACCATTTCACTTGCGGTTCCGGACATGCGTCCACCTCCACTTGTAACGTAAGGGTTGATCCTTCGTTTACGACTGTATCCTTTAGTTTTTTAATGAAACGTGGAGCACCTTAGATACAAAATAAAGATTGATTAGATATTGAAACGTTTCAAATTCTAATGAATTATAAGGATTGATTTGAAGACCTCATTAATTCAACATTATAGGTTAATGATATAGCATACAAAATAAAATAATATTATCGTACAATTAACAGTCAATTTGGCACTGGTTTCCGTTTCCCCTAGTTCATTGGACACCTTGACCTTATATCGTCCTGAAAGGTCGCTTGAAACTTCTTTTATTACGAGTTTGGTACCGTCATTAGACTCGATTCTTGTAAACTCTGACCTCGATTCACTTATTTCCATCTCATCCAGATACCTAAGCAAACGACAGATGATAGATCGTCAAGTATTTTTACTCTCAAAAAGTTTCTTTTACCATTTAACTGTTGGTTTTGGGAAGGCGTCAACTTTGACGTCCAAAGTAACATTCTTTTCATGTTCTGTTACGGTCATGTCTTCTAGGGGTGTCAGAATTCTGGGGGCGCGTTTCACGTCGACAGAACATATATCGTCGACTGTTCCATGGATGTTTTTGGCTTTGACTTTGTACCGAGCGGAATCTGTTGTAACTGCTCCACTAATCTTTAGTAGATACAAATCGCCGTCTTTTTCGATCAAGTATCGATCGCTGGTTTTGATTTCTTCGTCACCTTTAAACCTATTGATGCACGGATTAATCTTAAATAGTTGACAGGTAGCTATTGGAAGACTTACCAAACAACTTCTGGTTCTGGTTTCGATTGTATCTGAACTGCCAGTTTTATGTCTTCTTTCTGATACACTTGTTGGTCTTCTAATTTTTTGATGATTTTGGGTTTAGTATAAATGTCAAGATTCCAAAACTGCGACACTTGAGATACTTCATTTGAGGCCACAATAGAGTAGGATCCTAAACATGAATTTGTATGTACCTTTTGTCTCATTAACATAATTGTCTACATTACCTGAGTCTTTAAGATCAGTTTTTTTAATAATGAGTGTGTGCTTTTCCCCTTCTTCAGCGAACTGTATGCGATCGTTTTCTTTCAACAACTGACCATCTTTGTAGAAATGGACTTCTGGCTTTGGAAGACCCTGGACAATTACTGGAATTTTCAATGTTAAATCAGCGGATTCCGTTACATCTTCCATTTTTGTTTTGATTTTTGGCGCAGCTGTAATGGAATAATTTAAAAATAAACACAATCATTGCTCCAAACTGAATAATACCTTTAACGTTTAATGTCACATCTGCACTATCGTCTCCCAATTCATTTTTGGCCGACACTTGGTATGTTCCCGCGTCTGATGCTTCAACATTCTTGATTACTAATGACATCGACTCCTCATCCTCGTATAAAAATCTAAAAGTTGTGTATGATTAGCGTTCACCAAGTGCAACAAATGAACAATTATTTACTTGTATTTGCCACCAGGTTCTACAGGTTTCCCATCGTGGGTCCACTTCACTTGAGGTTTCGGATAACCTTTTACTTGAACTTCTAACATTGTTGATTCACCTGCAGTAGCTATTGCTTCCCGTTTTTCGAAGACAAGCTTAGGCTTTTCGGGCTCTCGGAAAAGTTGATTTACAACACCTGTACGTAGTAATGTTATCATTAGCAGATTTATTATTGAGTATTTACAAATTAGTACCATGCACGGTGAGTTCTGCACTGCAGCTTATGTGCCCACTAGAAGTCTGGGCTACGCAAGTATACAGTCCTGCATCTTCGGGTTTGACGTGCTGGAAGATTAAAGCTAAAGAGTCTTCGTCTTCGCCGAGAAGAACTTTGAAACGTTCTTCAGGTTCAAAAGGCACACCATCTTTTTTCCAATGGAATGTAGGCTTCTGTCCAGGTGGTAATAACTCATTATCGTCTTGCCATTCATTGAAAATATCTTTAGAATCTATTAACAAAGAAAATAATGTCTAAAATTCGGTTTTACGTGTAGTACGAGATCTGCTCAAAAAGTATCGCGAATTTTGAATTTTCGCAGTCATCTTGAATCTTCGGTTAATTTTTGATAGTTGCTTTGCTTGCACGTGTTTTGGCTCGTCTTCGATTTTTGCCCAAAAAATGCATCAAAGAATCTGTATCAAATTTTGTGTGAAAAGCAAAATTAAGTGTGCGGACGCATTCCGAATGTTGACTGTGGCATATGGTGAAGCTATCTTGGTCCGAAGCAACGTTTAGCGGTGGTACAAAATGTTTTCAGTGGGCCGGGAAGATGTGAACGACCAAGAGAGTGCCGGATACCCGAGCACGTCAACAACAGACGAAAACATTGATGAAGTGAAGAAAATAGTATTGGCCAATCATCGAATCACCGTTAGAGAAGTTACTGAGGACCTAAACATATCGATCGGCTCCTGCCATTCGATTTTTAGCAATGATTTGAGCATGAGACGGGTCATCGCGAAATTCGTATCAAAACTACTCAATTTCGACCAAAAACAGCAAAGGCAACAACGTTGTCGTCCGTGACGACTGGTGACGAATCATGGGTTTATGGTTATGATGTGGAAAGCAAAGCTCAATTATCCCAATGAAAGCTGCCGCACGAGCCAAGACGGAAAAAAGCACGTCAAGTTAGGTCGAATGGGAAGGTTTTGCTTACAGTCTTCTTCGATTGCAGGAGTGTGGTGCATCATGAGTTTTTGCCACAGAATAGAACGGTCAATAAGGACTATAACCTGCAAGTTATGCACAATTTGCGCGAAGCAATTCACCAGAAACGCCTGGATTTGTGGAAGTACAAAAATTGGCTTTTGCACCATGACACCCCCCCCGCGTTTGACCAAAAACAACACACTAATAATGCCGCAGTCACCATATTCTCCAGATCTAGCCCCCTGTGAGTTTTTCTGTACCCGAAATTGAAGAGGCTCATGGAAGGACGACGCTACGGTTCAATTGAGGAGATTAAGATCTAAGGAAGAGCTGAACAAGATCACGAAAAATAATTTTTTGAAGTGCTTCAGAGATCGGAAGAAACGGTGACACAAAATTCGCAAAACTTTTTGTACAGACCTTGTATAACATCTCTTACCGACTACGGTTACTTTGGCTTCCGAAGATACTTCTCCGTATTTATTGCTGGCCACACATTTGTAAATTCCCGCATCGTTATGCTTCACATCGGGAATGACCAATTCATAAAATCCTTTCTCAGCATGTTCTTTGATAATATGGAAGCGATCGCTTGAGTCTTTCAGTAGAACATCGTCTTTGAAACTGTTTAAAAAAAGTTTTTAACCAGTGAATCTTTGTTAATTAACTCACTAACTTACAATAGGACGGAAGGACTTGGGTTTCCTTTGACTTTAACCATAAAACGTAAATAAGTGTCTTCAAGGAGCTCCGTGTCTTTTAGTTGGACGACAAAGTAAGGCTTGTCTGTTTCTGCTTTCCATTTTCTTTCACCTTCAGTCACTGAATACGTGATTTGTTAAGATTAATGTTTTGTTTATTGTTTTCTAAATGTTCTAGACTTACATTCGTGGACTGTAAGTGGTGCTGAACACGTGGATTTTCCAGATGAATTTCTTGCTATGGCTGTGTATAATCCGGCATCATTTGATTCGGCCCTTTCGATGCTTAGACTGAATACCTTTCCTTCACTCGTTTTGCTTGTTTTGTAGCGTCTGCTTTGGTCCCCATTTAGCGGTTTATTGTCCTTAATCCACTGAAAACTATCAGGAGCGGTCTCCAATTCCACCTCGAATACGGCGGTTTCTCCAGCTAGAATAGAATTTGTTTAAAATTAAGTAGCTATTTGGTGAAGTTGATCAGTCAGTTATAATTAAAAAAAGAAAGTAGCTAAGATTATCGATAGGTATAGTTATTCAATGAGGAAAAGAAATTCGTATAAACTCTATCTGTTTAATGCATAAATGGAAGTATACTTTGAAAAACCTCAAATTCTAGGGATTTATTAGAAGATCAAAGAACAGTACAATTAAACCTCTACCAAAAGCACATATGCAGTTTTAAGACTATAGTAATGATGAGAAAATACAAAACATAGACAAGACTCAAATAGTCTTAGTTCTGCTTTCGACAGTACGTCTTAGTCTTAATTTTATTCGTACGAGATCAGTTCTTGTTTTTGCAAGATTTCTGTAACAGTTTAGAAAAATTAAAATTATACAAGTATATTTGCTCGTTCGTTACTGCAATTTCAAATCTACCCCTACTATTGCTAAATTTTGGCATCTTTGGTTATCGTTATCCTTCAAGGAGAAAATCGCAAAAAGTACACAAAATTGCTTTCTCTTTTGCTATTAATCGATCAATTAGTTAATTTTAGGATATCCTATAAACTATCAGGGGTCAGGACTGTTTGATTTTAGAACTTCTTACGCCAAAAATTTTCCATTTTAAACGAACCCTGGGTCGTACTGTGGAGTTATGAATTTTTAATCAAGGTCATGCTCATGAACTCGTTAATTTTAAATTGGCTGCCTATGACTTAGAAAATTGCAGGTATTTTCATAAATTTTTTCCATAGGTCATCTTTGCGCGAATGTCATGGTTGCAGTTGCATTTGGTGCTGACAAAAAATTCAAAATTTCCAAAAATTTTGAAATTTATTTTCCTATTCACGAAGGTACGGGTTAACTATTGGTAAAAGAATTTTTGCCCTGCCTTGTAATAGTTCGTCAGGTAAGGACCCTTAAACGCTTAATCCTAGATTTCAGTTTTAAGACGACGCGACGCCAGAATATTCGACGACGATAATTCTGAAACGTAAGAAAGCGAATCCATCGAAATCGGGTCCTTAAATCCAAAATAATCGGCGATATTGTGTCCTTAGCAAGCAAAGGTCTACCGTAACCCTGTATATCTCATAATAAAGTTAAGAACCTACACGTTAAATACATTTTAAAGATGATAAATATAAGTAGATGAGTTATTAAACAATCTTCAAAGTATAATTATGTTGTATAAAAGAATTGTTGCAATAAAAAGGCCAGATTTCTAATAATAACGCAATATAATAAGTTTTAAGCTAGTTTTGCGAGAATCTTAGTCTTGGGTTTCATCTTGTTCAATTAGTCCTGACCTTGGCCTTGCGAAATGTGCAAGACCAAGAGAAGACATCAGTAATAGTCTAAATCATGGCAAAACTTAAAATATGTATTTTTTAAAGCTGTTTGCTTTAGATCGATTGTATTGAATGAAATATAATTTATTAAAATTCATTGCACATTCGAAGGTATAGTTTTTCACACAGTGATTTTCGGAGCCGTTGAACATTTAATTAGTTGCAAAGGTAAAATCTATTGCATAGTGTACTTACGTTCTACATTCGTTCCCTGTAATGTTCTTATAAAGTGAGGTCTTCCACCTTTGGATGAAAAACTGGCGTCTTTTGTAAGTTTGAATTGTGTTGAAACGGAATCTGTGCTACCAACCTTTTCCACTCCATTAACTACTGTTGAAGACTCTATTTGAAAACAAACAGTTAGATTACTGTTAGATAATTACATGTTTCACTGAAAAAAAAATCGAAAATATGCGCTTTGGAATATAGAAGGGCCTGGAACCCGGTTTGGATTCAGTATCCGGTTTGGATCCTGCCAGTCGGGTACCGGATAGTGACACCGGGTACTCGCCAGTGCCAGATAATTCTACCTAACAAAATCATTATCCGCCTCACCTGTACTTTTCGGTCTAATAATATAATAAAAGAATAAAAAAAATAAATCAAATCCAAAAAAATCACTGTACCTTTCTTGCTGTAACTTAGTTCTTTTTCCTGCGATCTCTTCGTATTTTCGGTCATAATCTTTTCACATTGACCTATCAGAGCTTCATTGTCGTAGTGTGCTTCAGTACGTCTTGCACTGCTTCTCGAACCGGTCTCCAAATAGTTTTCACTTTCTTTTGATTCTTTTTTGGAACTGTATTCTTTTTCTGCAGATTGTTCGTATTCGCTGGTGGTGTGTTTTCTATACTTGTAGGATATTTCTTCCTCTTTGTTTTCAGAAGGTTCTCGAATACGTTTGTTTTCTTGTTCGCTTGAAATACTATACTGACCGTGTTCTGAACTCTTTTCCTCGATTGATCCTCTAACAGACGGAGGCGCATATTTTTTTCGCATTTCTGCCTCAATTCTTGCTGTTTCTTCGTCGTCATCATCGGCTGTTACCGTTGTTTTCTTGGATTCGCGTTTCTCGTACGTTAAACGTGAATATTTCGATGGCACGCTATCGCTGTCATCGTCCAATGATGATTTTTTGCGAGAGTATTTGCTAAGGATGTTTTTCACATCGTCGTCGTTATCATCGCCGCTGACGGTTGTTACCGATCTTCTGGAATACTTTGACGTTATCTCTGTACCATCGTCGTTTCCTGTGGTGGACCTTTTTAAGTATTTAGAAATTGTCGACGAGGTGTTTTCTTCGTCGCCCAAGCCAGCGGATCTTCTGGTATATTTAGAAGTAGTAAGCGAGCTTTCGTCACCGGTCGGTAAGGTTCTCTTTGTGTATCTACCCAGATCCGATGAATCTGTCGAGGTGAGGGATTTTCTTGTATAATCGCCTTCTCCCGTGTCTGTGAGGTACTTTTTTGCGTAACTGGAACTGGATAAATCGTCTCCTTTCCCTGATTCTAAAGCGTATTTTCTACTCAACGACGTCGAGGTAAGAAGTCCTTCACCTCCTGAATCGGGTGTGAATCTTCTGGAATAGCCGGTTGCAGATAACTCCCCATATTTTGATCCGGCATCGTCTTTCTCTGATAATATGGATTTCCTTGTATAACTAGACCCTAACGCTCCAGAATCGTCATATTTTGACCCATATCTGGAAGGTAGAGCGGAATCTGTGCTATATCGAGAAGATGGTGAATAATCATCGCTACCATATGACGATTGACTGGTGATCCTTCTGCTGTACGGCGATTCGTAACTGTCTATAGATAAAGAGGTTTGTTTCAATGATTTTCAATATATTTTAAGCAGCAGTTGAGCATATCAGTTTAAGTTGAAGCTTCGTCGACGCATCATTAATTTCTTCTTTTGTTGCAATGTTATTTAGAAGGCTGAAGAGTTTTGCGTAGCTGATGTTAAAGTTGCAGATCGAACGAAGTGTAATACTTACTATCACGTCTTCTGTGCAGCGCAAAGCCAAAGAAAGATAAGAAAACTTTTTGAAAACAAGCAGAAATGTTAGTGAAACTTCAAAGCCTGTTAAAGTTAATCAATTCAAACGATATCGGTAGAATGATGATCTTTTACCTGGTTTGGAAGACAGTGATGTATATTTACGACTCATTTCTTCAGTGACAACTAAGTCGACAGTAACACTAACGTTTCCGGTCTGTGCGGTGACCACCGTTTCATCAATCAAACCAAATGGATCCGGTTTGACCCCAACAGGAACTGGAGCTTCAATGGGAAGACGTCTCTCCAATGGAGTGAGATTATCCACAGAGGAGTCCTCAGATGGAAATTCAAGTTTCTTGGCTTTGAGGGCTGTTACAACCCTTACTGGAGATCTGTCTGCTTCCCTTGACTTTTCAGTGGGATTTGGGTTCGGATTTGGATTTCTACCTGGATTCGCAGGAGGGGTAGGATTATCGATTGGTTTAGGGTTGATAGGTGTTGGATTCGGATTAGGATTTGTTGCCGATTTAGGATTACCAATTGGTTTGGGATTACTGGAAGGTTCTACACTGTCCTGTTTATTAGGATTTACAGTTACTTTGGTATTTGATGATGGTTTTGGATTGTCAGGCTTTTTTGTAGGATTTTGTACTTGCTTTGGCTGCTCTGGTACTTTAGGATTGTCTGGTAATTGGGATGGGTTTAATGTTTCAACAGTTTTTGCTTGTGCCTCAAGAGTTTCAACTTTTTTGACTTCAGCGACTTCCTTTTTCGGAGTTACTTGCACTTGCTCAGGTTTCGGTTGATATTTTAAACTTAACTCGATAGAAGATCTTTTGGTTTCAGTTAGTTTTGGTATCTCTTTAGGTTTCTGAGCTTCTTCTGGTGTTACTTCTTCTTTAGGTGTTACTAATTTCTTAGAGATTTCTTCTTGTTGTTTGACCGCTTGGGGTTCTGAGTTTATTGGTTTGGTAAGAGTTTCCTCTGTTTTCTGTAATTCCTTGTGACTTGTTTCTTCTGTAACAATCTCCTTTTTGACGTTTTCTTCAGCGTTTGTTTTGGAAACAAACGATTTGACGTCACTTTTCTTTTCTACTATTTGTTGACGTTGTTCAACTGAAACAGTTGCAGTTGCTTCTTCTAACCTCGGTTTTTTCGGTGGCGCTGATGAAGTATCTTGATCGACAGTTTGAGATAAAGCTTCACTTATCGACGACCTCGATTCCTGAACAATTTGCAATTCTTCAGTTGCTTGTTCCTCTGAATGTTGAAAGATAATCTTTTAGTTTTTCACTAGTTGTGATTTACAGTTTTATTTACCTACGTCAGTTGCAAATTCCCTTATTTCGGACAACCAAACGTATTTGATGTCTTCACGGTGAGCTTTCAATGTCAGAGAGTGCCCACCAACTTTGTCTATGAGTTCAAACGAATATGAATCTTCTGGGTGATCCTTTACTTCAACTTGTGGTAACTGCAATAGGTACATTAAAATCGTCACTAACTTCAAATACCATCAACCACACTATTGGTTCTTAAATTTAACTGGGAAATGAGAATTATAAGAATTAATGGATGTAAGTTCTAACATTATTAAAATGGTAGAATGAAGATTCGGGCTATACGGCCGTGGTCTAAGTGAACTATTCTGTCCAGACGTTTCGTCAGCTACTGCGGCTGACATCCTCAGTGTTACAGTCACTTTCGAGACTTCGAGATATAATCGACGTTCACGTTGTCCACGCAGCACTACCACTGAGGATGTCAGCCGCAGTAGCTGACGAAACGTCTAGACAGAATAGTTCACTTAGACCACGGCCCTATAGCCCGAATCTTCATTCTACTATGAATTCCGGCCGTAAAAGCCTTTGTTCTTATAATATAAAAATGATTTTAGAAAGTTATTTTGGATTTCAAGGCTGTAAACTTCGAGATACTTAGTCTTAGAAGTCAGTTTCTCCAAGGTAACTGTCTGGAATTCCAAAAAAAATCACTAAAAGTTTTTGGGGATGCTTGGAAAGTCTAAGTACTATAAATTTAGAGTATTACCCTTATAATATCTTTCAGCTGGAAGACAGATCTATCTTCTGATACTCTTCTAACTTTAGTAACCAGAATGCGTGCTTTGAATAGAAAGAGATATCTTTCTTTGACAACGTCTCCAAATGTGACAGAGTACCAATCGTGCAAAAGAAGACGTCCAAGCTTGTGAATACTTCCACGGTATCCTTCTATACTTGAAATAAACTTATCGTCTTGTGCCCTGTGGGGAATGTTGAGCATCAACTCCAAAGCTTTCTGGAGATTGGTGCTGTCTTCGCCTAGACACTCACTATACCTTACCAACTCCTTAAAAAAAAGTTTGATTTAATCTTGGTTTATGCATGAAGGACAGATTTCGATTAGAGGTTAATGCTACTTATAATTATTTTATTCCTCAAATTTAATTTGGGGCTGGATTTTTTTGTCAGTGTCAGACAAGTTTCTGTTTTTTATAGCTGAAAGTTTCATTGGCACCTTTAGATTAATGTTGTTTGTTTTTCAGGATAAGCGTTGCGAAATTATATAATATATCGACAATATTCTGATGCCAGAAAGTTTTGGCAATCAATTTTTGCAGTCGAACTGTTTACCTCAGAATTTTACGGTATTTTGAAATTAACATGAATCTATAATCTAATAGATCCGGACGTTTAAAACTAAAATATATGAAATATTTTATATAAATGATCCTTCTNTTTTTACACAAAACGTTAACAGTCAACTTTGCGACCTCGTCTGCGTGAGACAATGACTAATTATTTATAATAAATACGAGAATTAATATATAGAATATAGATGAATAATTTATAATCCACAATTTGAGTGAAAAATGTTTATTTAGTGTTTAAAGGGCAAATTAAATTATACTAAATTCGGCAACAATCTCAAAAAAATTTTTTCGTATCCTCTATGCATTGTTCATTACTATTTTACGCCTTAACTACTTAACCAATCATTTTGAAATTTTGTACACCCATTGTCAGAGATACAGTAAAGGACATAGAGCACCTTTTATCCAGAAAAAAATTAGTTTTATCTGGTCGTCGCATATCTTTGACACGTATTTAGGACATCAAAGCGAGCGAAGCCGCGAGTAAAATCTAGTATTTCTATAAATAGACAAACAAACATAACTGGATTAATTCAATTTTGGTATATTAATGTGAAAATTCATTTTCCAATTTTTATCCACTACTAATGAGGGAAAACTTTGTGTTGCTGTCGTCGGGAATCGAACCCGGGAGTTTGTAGTGGATAAAAATTCGATAATTAATTTTCTCATTAATATTTCATAATAACCACTATTAAAAAATGTCAAAATAAATTTTAGTATTCTTTTTGTATTTATACGAAATAATTTAAATTCGATAATTGTAACCACTCTGTATATCCCAGTATGTACAGGCAAATGACGTCCAACAATATAGGTCAACATTTTGTAATTCCTCGAGCGATAGATCGATGGCTATATTTACCATAGGTCCAAGACCGATAAGCGTTTGGATGTTTCTAATTGCTTGGCTTTAATCACTATGTCATTTTGTTAGTTTATGATACAAGTGCATGCCAAATACCGGCTCTGGTAGCTTGAAGAAACCGTATGGTTTCATTTAAAGAGTCGACAACTTGTTTATCCTTTCATATTTATTTGAGTAGGTATACAAGTTTCTGGTTTTTGATCTGTTGAATCTGTTCTCATCAGCACGTCATAGACAATTCTGATAGAACGCAAACCAATTACTTGCTGTCCTGTTAAGTACAGTTTGACAAGTCGGTATCCTTAATCGAAAAGGACCTTGTCAAACATAAATAAATTGTAATTAATTCATCGCTCCGGACGTAGTTATCCATTCAAGATCATGATTTGTTTTTCGTATAAGCTTTCTGGACACTTATGGGTATACCTTAATGTAGATAGTAGACGTACCTTTAAGAGAAGTTGGTAGTCGTTAATGCGTTGAATCGGAAGCTTCAAATGTTCGGAAAGAGTTTTGTCGTCACCGAGTCGTTGTGACACTTCCTAGAAGAAGAAATTAGTTTATTTATAATAGTGATAGTCATATGTTTATTAAATAAGAGGGTTGAGTAGATAATTTTTGTGTTTCTCTCTATTAAAGTCCTAAAATTTCTAAAAGGGTGCAGGTAGGGAGCAAATCTGTATATATAAAAGAAAGTCGTGTTAGTTAGACTATTTATAACTCAAGAACGGCTGAACCGATTTGGCTGAAAATTGGTGGGGAGATAGCTTAGAAGCAGGAGACGGACATAGGATACTTTTTAGCCCGTTCCCATAGGGGGATTTTTAAAAATCAACCCTTAAGGATGAAATGTTCTTGCTACGTTTGTATTTGAAATCTAAGATGACGACATTACATAAAATTAAAATGTTGTAAGGGTGAATTGGGAGTTAAAAGGTTTTATGGAGAAACAATATTAATTTCTGCGAGCGAAGCCGCGGGGAAAAGCTAGTAAAGAAATAAATTACAACTGCATATGTGTCTGTGCAAACAGTTTTCGAAAAATAATTGTATGTCAACGGAAATTTCACAATCTTTATTGGATTACTTTAATCGAGCTTTTCTACTTTCAAAAGCAACTTCTAGTATTGGGTGAATAATTAAAAATTAAATAGATTATTTGTCACAAAGAAGTAACTATCAACGTTAATTAATACGATAGATTCGTATTTTTAATTGGGAAATTGCCTTGGCGCCTCCGCCATTTATAAATTCTATTTATAAACCGAAAATTATCATATTTAGATATATAGCAAATGTTCTGTAAGCGAGCATTTATTCGTTGGCATGAATCCAGCGAGAACCAAGTCATTAATTTCTTCCCCAGATTATCTGGCTAATGTTTAAACTGTTAGTAACTACTTACGAGGGTGGATTGATAAGTTTCCGGCCTAACCAAGAGATGACGCCACTAGGCCTACCTTGAGGTGACATTCTATAGTACCATCCTTGGATAGCTTGTAGCTATAGTTTCAGCCCGATCTCCTTGCTAGTGTAGGTTTGACAGCACGCTGAACAAGACGCCTCTGTGGTTTTCGTAAAAATGGAAAAGCAGGAAAATCGTGCTGTCATCAAATACTTTTATTTGAAGGGGTTAACGCCG